ATCACATTGGTTACGTAAGTACCTTCATTTAGGGAATCCACAAAATTCGTTCCAAATGCTGGATTATTCCAAGAATCACTTCTAATATTCATAAAAGATATAATGATAAGCAGTGAGTAGATTATGAAAGCGATGGTGAAGAGTGCGAGTAAAAAAAATCAGTGTTTGAGAGCATTTTATTAGAGCAAAATATTGTTATGCTTGTTAGAATATTTTTTGATAGATTTGTTATTGCAATGTAAAAGATTTTAATATTCGTTTTCCTTACCAGAGCACCTCCGATTCATTCAGCTTTTTATAATTAGGATTCCTCCGCAGTTGATCGCTATGATCATCGCAAAACATGAAAGTCCCTGGATCTTCACCGGTTATTCTTTTGTCCAATAATTTGACGATCCTGAGTTTACAAATTGACCTATAATAAAATGCATTAGCCCTGAGCGATCAAAATTATTAGTATGTATGTTATAAAAGTTTTTTACCAATCAATCCTCCCACTGAGAGTCGTCAACTTCGACCCTATCTCTTCAATCAACCAACGATTACCCCATAACCTCCTCATATCCACACTCCGAAATGGACCTACACGATCTTGAATGAATGAGGATTAGTATAGACGATCAACTTCCATCAAAATTAAACAGCTGAGTCGTTCGAAGTGGTACAACCAGGCTTGCGGATAAAAGGATTAACAAGTAAAACTTACCTCTCTTTTTATATTTTGTAGCTTCTGATTTCACGGGATCGGTAAGTATGATCGCATCACAAAATCAGGATCGGAGGTTGGGCTAGTATTTGCATGAAAGTTCGAGAATGAACATTTATGCGGACCTGCTATGGCCATGATGTGGATAATTTGGAAGATCAGTTCGGAGAGTATTTTTTCCGTTCTTGCATCACATTCCAATACCTGTGATGATCGAGAAGAATTCGCTAAAAAAAAATGAAAGATAAGTTGGAATCACGTAAAATCGATCGCATTATGGAAATCTGTCACAACACAATCCCACAGCAGGAATTTTCGAATATTCTTCGGCAAGAATTTTTCTGATATCTTCTGTGCATTTGCGTTAAGCGCCTTCGGCCAGGTGATCGGGTTTAGAATACCGCAGTCTCTTTTGGATAAGCCACCCACGTGATTCGAAAAAAAGAAATAGATAATATACGATTTCGCATAATTCAGTCAATGCGAATGATTGATTCGCCCAATAATTCTTCTAGGCGGTTACCGGAGAGATAATAGGACTCATCATTGGGGAGGTTTTTCTTTCGTATCCTCCGTCACGATAGTAATAACCTCTATCACGTTCACCATATTCATTATATCCACCGTATCCACCTTATCCATCATCATCCGAATCGTCTGGCATTTCTTCTTCAGAATCATCGGAATCGGAGTCATCATTACTTGAATTGGAGTCACCATCGACCGCATTAACAGGTCCTGAAGAGACTATATCACCTCATCAAAATACACATCCCCATAACCCCATCATGCGAAATAATGATTGTCAAAAATTAACTATAATCGAATGTTGTTTTGTTAGTATGATTGTACTTATAGTAGCGTGGCCGGCAAAAATAAATGCGAATATATATGCGATTCACATGTTGCACAGCCCCCTATTCGAATTATCCCTGCGTAGCAATTTTGACTATCTTGTCTTGATAAGTACCCCAGGACACGAAAGATACTTCGATGTGTCTCTTTGATTTGAATGCTGTATTTATTATATTAGGTAATTTAATTTAGTTCATGTGAAAATACGATTAGTTCCCTGATTTTCTTAAATGTCAGACTATTGTGACGCAGTATAAAAATCGATATTTTATTATTACAACGTAAAAGCTAATATACTACACATAATATGAAATAATTAAGTTTCAATAAGCAATAAAAAAAGCATGTTAAAAAAAAATACGCCAAGTAATTCGCAGAATGTTTAAGTAGTAATCATATCACAACTTTGTCTATATCCTCTGGTATGATTTTTAAATTGTAAAAAAAGGAATCATCGGGAAAATATAACCAGTCTCGTACCCTTGTATTAATGTTGTCAGCTAGATTGGAGATTTTTTTTCGCAACTGATTCTGTTCCTTAAATTCAGTTCGAATGATTCGGAAGAAGTTGAAGATTTTTGTAAAGTGTGAAATGGTGTCAAATGAAAAGGGGATCAGACAAGTTGCCATCTCTAATGCCAAGTATTTCTTTCGGTCAGTGAGGGAAACAGCAAATAAAGTGAGACGGTTGCCAATGACCTGAATACTGTATGTTCTTATCCTTTTGGCATCTTCAGTGCCACAATCAAGGTTGTCACTAAATAATTGACATAGACTGCAAACGGACATCATCAACAATTTTTTTGTGTCTCCAACGGTGTGAGGTAGTGCAGATTTGAATGGTGGTCCTGAAACCTCGGTGTTCAATATTTCTTTGTTGTCGGTTAAACGTTGAATGAGTATGTCCACCTTTCGTGAACCGATATCATCTTCGAACATTTTGTTGGCCACCTTTATTGAAGTAGCATCTTTCTCAATCCACCAAATTTTATTATCCGGAAAAGCGTTTCGAAATGAACGGAAAATTGGAGCCAAACATTCAACAATGAATGTACGCTCAGACATGTCACAGTCCAAAACTCTCGGAGTTATATACTTGAAATTCGTAACAAAATCTAAGAGTGTGTACCGAATAAAAAAAGTGAATCTTGAACTTTCCGACTGGTCGTTGGCCTCGACTACTGTCTCCTCAATTATTTTTGATTCGATCTCGCTGTAATCGGTTTCAAATATCGTTTCCAACTTTTTAACAACAGATTCCTGCAAGATTAATCGGTCGTTCATTTGTAGCATTTTTTTTATTTCCACATATGTTTCCTTTTTGATGGTTTCTTTGATGTAATTTATTGTACTATTGAAAGCGCAGATAAGATATGGGAAATATTCGTCATACATCATTTTCGTTACAATGGGCTTGTTCGTCAAAGCGGTTTGTTGGGCTGGTTCTACCTCAGAGTAATTATTAGATATCGTTGGAATTTGTTGTTCCCGGAGACCACTATCATGATATTCATTTCGACGACCCTTCTTCTAAAATAGCAACATGGCTTGTTAGTTCTTGGTTTATCTTCATCATACTTAATAGATTTTAAAAAGTAATATGTAAAATGGATGAAACACAACGCAACGTTATACTACTCACCCTCTTTTTTGATTTCTCAACATAATCCGAATCCGAATCCGTTTCTGTTTCTCGTTTCCTGAGTACCCTTTCCTGAAAAGTTAGGTATATAACATCATAATTTAAAATATGCATTACTAGTTATATGATACATCAAAGCTTAAGAAATAAATACCTGGTTCTCCTTATTGTTCTCCTTATTGGGCGCTGGATTGTTTCTTCTAGACTTCTGTAGTAGTATGTAAAATAAGATGTGAGTAAAGATTCTTAACATAAGGAAGGTACATAGCCGATTCCTCCTCCAGAATCAGCAGACCTTGATCAAAGAATCTCATAGCAAGATGTGCACGCCACAGCAAATGTGAGACATGTTTTATTTTTTACTTTTTTTATCTTTTTTTTTCTAATAGCACTCACATGTCTGGACGCTCTTCTTCCCCGTTACCGCAGAAAACAGGGCGTAGCACACTCACTATGCTCGTTAGCATTTCTACATGTAAAAACACTATCCTTTAATCGACGCTTCAGTGCCGATGCCTTTTGATATTCTTGTGTTTTTGGCTCAAGGCATTCTATCAAAGTATCTAACTCTAGTATTAACGCGCTATGTGAACCTTGCGTCTCTCCGCCAAAATATTTATTCCAGGTGCTCACACTCCATTGAGACTGGGGTCTTTGCCAGTATTCTGCGTGTCTAAGCTTACGTGAAACAACATCTGATAACATGTTAATTGAAAAAAAAACGGCGGAGAAAAAGAACAAGACACGAATCATTAAAAGCATTAAAACGCGTTTTAAAACTATTCACAAAATGATCGATACTGCGGATTTCTAAACTAGATAACTTCTATCCTAATGCGGGAAATAGACACGAAACAGACTTTAAATTTACTGCCATGTTTCTTTTAAACTAACCAGTTGTATATAGCATGACGCAAAAAATAAATTCAAAGAACAACTTAGCGATATTTATCTGCGATTTAAACGTAAATTTACATGTACTGATTATAGGGAATCGAACTTTTGGATGCTTGATCAACGAACTCCCTAATCTTTCGTATTCTTTCTGGAACGACAATTTCCGGATTTTGATCATACCATACCTCGAGAAGAAAGATTCCATTGTCCTGACAGATGCACCTTTTTTGCCGATCATGATTAACAATGTCCTCGAGTTTTTTGACATCTTTATACCAGCTGGTGCTATGAAACCGATGCTGTGCTCCTTGTACCTCCAATGCAATTCGGTATTTTTGGAAGAAGGCATCAAGCTCTAATCCTTGCATGAAAGAGGGGCGATATTCGAT